AAATTACGATAAATTTTCTTTCTTTAGAAAATTTACGATAAATTTTCTTTCTTTAGAAAATTTACGATAAATTTTCTTTCTTTAGAAAATTTACGATAAATTTTCTTTCTTTAGAAAATTTACAATAATTTTTCTTTCTTTAAAAAATTTACAATAAATTTTCTTTCTTTCTTTAAAAAATTTACGATAAATTTTCTTTCTTTAGAAAATTTACGATAAATTTTCTTTCGTTAGAAAATTTACGATAAATTAGCTTTCTTTAGAAAATTTACGATAAATTTTCTTTCTTTAGAAAATTTACGATCAATTTTCTTTCTTTAGAAAATTTACGATAAATTTTCTTTCTTTAAAAAATTTACGATAAATTTTCTTTCTTTAGAAAATTTGCGATAAACTTTTTTATTTAGAAAATTTACGATAAACTTTTTTCCTAGAAAATTTACGATAAATTTTCTTTCTTTAAAAAATTTACGATAAATTTTCTTTCTTTAGAAAATTTACGATAAACTTTTTTATATAGAAAATTTACGATAAACTTTTTTCTTGGAAAATTTACGATAAATTTCTTTCTTTACAAAATTTTAGAGTTTTAGAATCTTAATGAATACACTATTTAACACTTCTGCACATACCTTACATTGTACCGTGTGTATGTCATGAAATTTTGATTTCTTCCTTTTGTACTCTGCTTCCTAAGAAAGAAATTTATTTTACGTTTGTTGTTGTTTTTTTGTCTGTATTATTTCGGGAATTTTACCAACACCCCCACCTTATGACTGTCTTACTTTATAGCTGCATTTGTTACTGTTTTATTTCTTTTCGTCTATAAAAATCAATTCAATTTCTCTATAGAGTATCACGGTTTCTGGCAATAACTATTTGCGGCTTTAGGTCTATACTCCAACTAATTTTAACGATACGTTTTTTATAATTTTTTTGCAATATTTTACTTCAAGTTCTTCTTTATAGTTTTTGGTGTTTTTTCTCAACATACTACTTACTTACTAAGAATGGTGGTTGGTTTTTGATTTTGAATTGTCTGGGAGTACATGATTTTAGTGACCAACTTTATTGGTTTAATAGAAAGTCAATTGACAATTATTGTTAAGTTGAGTGATTTTAGTGATCACAACAGTTTTCTTTCGCAGAGCTTTTCTATTTCCTAAACTACAGCTTTATAGCAGCAGTTTGAAAAACATTTTATTATTATTACTGTTTTATAATCGTGTTGTTTTCGTTTATTAATTGTTAATGGTTTTAATGTTTAAGGCGATCAATTTCTTTTGTAACAGTTTGCTTAAAGAGGAAAGTAGAGAAAATAATAAATAATTCTCACACAGTGCTTTTTATTTGGTTAAGAGTTATAAAATGGCAATAAATATATATTTTATTTTAATTAGAATTTTATTTTAATATCTATAAGTAAATGCTTTTAAAGTTCCTTTTATTTTTATTTGTTAAGTTTTTAAGTTTTCTTATATTACTTTTAGATAAATAATTTTACATTGTATAGTTTCTGAAGTTTTATATAAATTACACAATTTAAATCTTACATATACCGCTGTTCAATACTGAAATTAGTTTTCCAATCATAAAGATTTATGTGTGTATTTGCGTTTTGTGGTTTAAAAATTTTGCGATTTTCTTTTTTATTATAAAATGTATTTAGTTTTTTTCTTGCCAGACGCATATAATCGAACTTACATGATACATTTTTCACGCCTCTCAATAAACCATAATAGTGTGGTCTTAGTACACTAAAGCCTGGTTTAACAAATTTATAAAAATAAACTTTAATCGCTCGGATTAATAGCTGACAATCATTCATTCAAAGTGTATGCGATCTACACTGTGTTGATCTACTTAAACTTCTCGCTCTCTCTTTCTACTGAAGGGAATTCTTCATAAACAATATAATTTTCAAAGCATTTAAAGATTTTGTTATAAGTCTGTGTTAGATCCTCTAACTTCGAAAATCATTATTATTCTTTCTTATGAATATTTAAAATATTCCAGTCGAGATTGTTCTTAACTTAATGAACTTTTATTTTTAGTTTTAAGGTTTAACAGATAATGAAATTTAGCTCTCCGAATGATATTCTAGGGCAAGGGAGATTATAAGAAAACAGTTTCTAAGAGTTCGTCAGTGTTGCAATGCACATCTATTTATAGTTTTGAGATAAAGTTGACATAAAAATTTAGACAAAAACTTCTCTGATGTGATCCTACATGTGAAAGCAATAGGGCAAGAAAGTTCACATAAGAGCTCTTTGCCTATCTCCACGCTAAGAGTTCTTTCTCTTAACTGCCTTCAACACTGCTTGCAATGAATTGTTACAGAAGTGTTTGAGAAGAAATAGCAAAAGCTAATGAACATTTGGAAATCTTAGAAAGCTTTAAAACAGCAATGAGTAGAGAACTCTTTAAGAGCTTTATTGTACTCTTGATTTCAAACGTATACCTGCATTTGTATAAAAAACCTATCGGAGAGGTCATTTGTTAAATCAGTAGTACAAGATCTTTGATAGGAGAGCTCTTTGTCCATCTTTATATTCCTTCTCTTAACTGTTTTGAACGTATTACAAACGTATACTCACATTTGTATAAAAACCTCATCGGCGAGCTCATTTGTAAAAGCAATAGGGCAAGAAGATTCGTATTAGAGCTCTTTGCTCATCTGTATATATGTCTTCTCTTAACTCTTTGCCTATTATCTATATTCCTTCTCTTAACTGCTTTCAATGTATTTCAAACTTATACTCACATTTGTATAAAAAGCTCATCGGAGAGCTCATTTGTGAAAGCAGTAGGGCAAGAAGATTTATATAGAGATGAGCTCTTTGGCCATATCTATATTCCTTCTCTTAACTGCTTTCAATGTAGTTCAAATGTATACTCACATTTTTACAAAAAACCTATCGGAGAGCTCTTTGCCCATCTCTATATTCCTTCTCTTAACTCTTTGCCTATCTCTATATCCCTTCCCATAACTGGTTTGAATGTAATTCAAATGTATGGGTATTTGTATAAAAAAACCCATCGGCGAGCTCATTTGTAAAAGCAATAGGGCAAGAAGATTCGTAGCAGAGCTTTTTGCTCATCTGTATATATGTCTTCTCTTAACTCTTTGCCTATCTCTATATTCCTTCTCTTAACTGTTTTGAATGTATTTTAAAGGTATACTCGCATTTGTAAAAAGAACCAATCGGAGAGCTCATTTGTAAAAGGAATAAGGCAAGAAGATTCATAGGAGAGCTCTATTTCCCATCTCATAACTGATTTGAATGTATTTCAAACGTATACATTTGTATAAAAAACTCATCGGATAGCTCATTTGTAAAAGCAATAAGTCAAGAAGATTTACAGAAGATCTCTTTGCTCATCTATGTTCTATGTATTCCTTCTCTTAACTGCTTTAAATGTATTATTACAGATGAGTTTGGAGAGAAAAAAGCAAAAGCTGTGATCAAATAAGAAGCCCACAGAAAATCTCAAAGAGCATTAAACCAACGATACACAAAAGCTCTATCTTTTGATTTTAAACGTATTTAAAAGTACTCTCTGCCGATGTCTGCTTCAAAAAGATCTAAAACTTCTAAAAATTTGTGCATAATTGTTAAACAAGTCTCTAGTGTTTGAACTACTCACCAAACACCATTTTATATCCGATCAGTACTTGCTTATTCATGCTGAGTTTTTTCATAATAAACTTGATCTAAAATTTGTTCATATATTGCTTTAGAAATCATTTTTTTTTGTTTCTCTAACTTATTTTAAAACATAATTTTAAATTTGCTAAAAAACAAATTGTTTGCTTTAGCCAAACATTAATTTTATTGAAAAATTATTTAATAATAATGGTAAAGTAATTTTTTATGTAACTGATAAGAAATATTAAAACTAAAACATTTAAATTAAAAATTAAATACTTAATTTATTTTGGGATAATTAGAGCAACCGCTATTACTTTAGTAGAGTTATTTTCTTGATTAAAAGCTATTTATAGCACTAAGGGGAAATGTATGAAATTATTACAGATCTTGTGGATATTCTAAAAGATTTTGTTAATTTTTGTATAAAAACATACTTAGTTGTATTTTCCAAGTTATTTATTATTTTTTGAATAAACTTTCAATAACATTTTATGTCTTGTTTTACTTGACGTTATTTAAAATCCTCCTATTAAACCAACATAAACCCCAAAATTATGTTTGGTTTTGCAATGACATCAATATGTCGTATATATATTTAACAAACAAAAAAGACTTTTAAATTTAAAATAAAATATTTTATTTTACTCCATACTAAAGAGGCAATTGTGCAGACATATAAAACTATCAATTAATGTCCACTTAAATCGACCATAAATATGTGGTTAATATTATGTCGCGTCGTTTGCTAAGAAGAAACGTTAAAGCTGCAGTTAAAAATAACGTGTTTGTTGCGAATGATAACTATGATTGGAGGTTTAACACTTTTTGTTGCTTTTTATTTGCAAAAATTTTCATTAAAAAGAAGTCTGGGAATAAATGGTTAGAGCAACCAAACGTTAACCGAAGTTTGTTTAAGTTTCTAAACAGTAGTATTTTTGCTTATAACACAGACTCTAAAAATTTAGATAAAGTCTTTCTTTTAAGTCTATTAAAAGTCAATTTTTTATATTTCTTATATTATATTTAATAAAAAAAAAAATAAAAATTTTAATAAAGTTTTTATTTCCTGCGCCCCGGAAATTTTTGTACAAACAGTTTTCTTTTATATTTGATTAGTTTCAATTAAAGTAGTAGCCTCTGGATTCTCAAAAAATTGTGTTTAAATGACGTTATCATTTGTGTTTTTATGTTAAATTTTATTGAAAGCGGTTTTAACCAAGTTCAAAGCAGTTTTATATTGTTTAAAGTATGACAAATAGTTTAGTATAAGTAAAATATAATTAAAAAATTTATGATTTAATTTAAATAATATTTTTCTAATATTTCTTTTTTTATCACAATTTTTAGATGCCTGTGGTTTATCAGATGTTACACATATAGAATCCCTGCAAGAAAAATCCCAGTGTGCTTTAGAGGAATATTGTAGGACACAGTATCCAAATCAACCCACACGATTTGGTAAATTATTATTAAGGCTGCCATCTTTAAGAACGGTTTCGTCACAAGTAAGTATTTTTTTAAAGATATTATTTAAAAATAAAGGTTGTGACCCCTGGGGACTTGGGTCAATTATGAATTATTTTGACTGAAATATAATATTGTAACAAAATAGAGATGTTTAAGCTCGATCCGTAATTTCAAAAAAGATTGAAGATGTTTTATCACAAGTTCAAGATTTTTAATCTCTGGTAGGGAACTGAGGACGTGTTCAGTACTTTAAAACGCATTGATATTCCTATATGATATTCTTAAAAACGATGTTCCTCGGGACAAATGAATGACGAAGTGCTTTACGTGAACACCTTCCATGTTGGCCTATTTTACGGTGGTCTTTTTCAACCACTGGGTAAGCTTTTATGGCGACTCAACACCGCCCCATTGTGTTTCCTACACACAGGTGGCAATTTACGTTTATGGAAGTTCCGGTCCAGTATACGTGCACTTGAGCTATCTAATCTCTGACCCTTGCTGCCCCGTTGCTTAACTTCCGAGATGCAAAAGCATCACTTTCGTTTACAACCACACAGATGGGATGGCCTCTGTTGAGTCGCTAACAGCACCTAGAGACGTAACCGGTAGACCGAAGTACGAATACATCAAATAAGCCAAAACTTTGTACTTAGTCACAGTGACACACTGTGGTAATTCTGGTATGAACAGAGTTAGCTCTGAACATACCTGGACAAGGAAGGAAAATTCAATGGTATCATTGGTATAATATACCTTTCATCCATCATCATTCAACCCAGAGCACTTCTCATTCGTCCGACACACTCATAAGAGAACAACATACGACACACTTATTCTACGTATACGAGTGGGTGAGGCTCGTATACCCCTACATTTATCCTGTATCATATACAATTATCACCAAATCATTTCCAACGCATAGTCACACAGTCACTCCTCTGTGGGCTATCTGTTGTCATTCGGCAACAGCACCGAACTTATCCCGAAATATTGACTTTACCGCAACTCATTCTTCCCGCTAATTTGAGTTTAAACCACAGCCACAACATGGATCCCGAAGGAACCTCAACCAACTGACCAGCCAGGACAAGTCCAGCGGGCAACTGGCCACCCGTAGTACCAGATTATGTGGTGCTCTAGTTAGACCCCATATGAAATCGTACCAAGCACTAGCCGAGGAGTGAAGTGACATCACCAGTTTATAGTCCCGGCAGACTAGAGGTATTGGTAGCACCTCTTTACTCCAGGATTGCAATACACCAAGATGAGGGTCTTTCATCAAGGAAACATGCACCCGGGGAGTTCTTCGAGACAAAAACTTGGTAATGAATTTCAATTGTAAACACTTACCTTCCCCCATCTTGGTATGATGGCAATGCCGTGGAAAAGAGGTGCTGCTAATACCTTTAATCTGCCGGGACTATATACTGGTGATGATCAAATACATCCTCGGCCTTTCCTTAGAATGATTTGACATGGGGTCGAACCAGAGAACCCCAAAACCTGGTACCACGAGAACCGGTAGCCCGTAGGGCAGAGTTTCGGACTTTGTCTTGTCACGGTTATTGGAAAAATCCCTTCAGGGTGCATGTGATGGCTATGGTTTAAACCCAAAGTCGGGGGAAGTTAATGTCGGTTAAAATACTGTTTTACCGTGTATCCGTATCTGCAATTCGGGATAAGTTCGGTGCTGTTGCCGACGTCAACAGATACCCCACAGAGGAGTGATCGTGGGACTAACCGTTAGAAATGAGTTGGTGTTAAGTGTGTATAATACAAGAGGAATGTAGGGATATACGGATCTTACCCCCATATAACTAGAATGAGTATGTCGGATGTTGTTCTCTATAGGTGTGTCGAATGAATGAGAAGTGTGCTGGGTTAAAAGGTGGTGGAGGAAGGGTATCTTCATCTATCATACCAAATTTACCACAGTGTGTTCTCTGTGAATAAGAACAGAGTTCTCGGCTTATTTGACGGATTCGTGTTTCGGCCTATCGCATACGTGTTTAGATGCTGTTGCCGACTTAATAGTGGCCTTTCCATTTGCGTGGTTGTAAACGTTAGTGAGGTTTTCTGCATCTCGGAAATTGAGCATTGGTCAGAGATAAGACAGATCGAGTACTTGAGCAAAGTACCGTCATTATATTGATTTTCCTAAGGCCCTTGACTCAATTACAAATTTTAAACATAAACATTTTCAAGTCGAATACAAAAGTGTCTTTGCTAAGCAATGAAAAGTGTCTTTGCTAAATATTTTTCGTTATCAAATTCTCTTTTATAGAAAAGATTATTTGTGGAAACTTTTTCTTTCTACAGTAAAATGTTAAGATCTTATCTATAGGAAAGTTTTATTGCTAGACACAAGTGTCATTGCTTGACACTATAGAGAAGTGAGTAAAATATTAATATCTTACACACAGATAGGTGTCTTTGCTAAGTGTATTTGCGAAGATTTTCGTATATGGAAAAGTTTTATATAGAAAGTGTCTCTCCTAACACCTTTATATAGAACAGCTCCATACTTAAGAGAAGTGGTCTTGACGAGAAAGAGAAACGTATTTGCTGAAGATAGTAAAATGTTAAGATCTTATCTATAGGAAGGTGTCTTTGCTAGATGCTATAAAAAAGTGTCCTTGCTAACCGTTTAATAGCGATCTATAAATCAATTTTCTAAAAAAGGGTATTTCATCGATTGTAAATTGAAAACTCAAATAAAATGGAACTAATTTGAAAAATTATTGATTTATAATCTGAAAATATATAAAAAATTGCTTAATTGAAAAGTGACTAGGAACTTAATACATTTTATAAAAATCCGTTAAAAAAATTGTCAACACTTATCTTGTAATATAAACCATTTTAATAACTTTTATTTTCCTTTAACCAATTCCATTAAATTTTCTTACATTGTAATTTTCTTACTCGTTTCATTTCAGGTCATTGAACAATTATTTTTTGTCCGTCTAGTCGGTAAAACACCCATTGAAACACTGATACGTGACATGTTATTGTCCGGTAACAGTTTCTCTTGGCCTTACTTACCATCGATGTGACATACAATGTGGAGACAATTGACAACAACTTGATCATCCGCTGCTGCCGTGGCAGCTGCAGCAGCAGTTGCAACAACCACACAACAACAACAGCAACAACACCAGCAAACGTTTAATGCAGCAGCAGCAGTTCAAATGCAACATAATGCCTATACACATGGTGGTGCAATTGTTGGTAGTGTAAATGCAAATGATTTTCCAAATAGTAGTCATAGTGGACATGGCAACAATAATAGTCATGTTTTAAATGCTATACAAACAAGTTTACCACCAAGTAATCATAATAGTAGTAATAATAATAATACAAATGTTGCTACAACAACAGCAACAACAGCCACAACGACAACATCCTCTATAGGCGAAGAAACAGGTGCAGTTAGTCCAAATGATATGATGAATACGGGTAGCGGTGGTGTTGCTAGTAACGGTGTCGCTGCTGTTAATTATGGTGCAACATTTTTTGGTAATGAATATCATCATCAATTAACACAAACCGCTTTAATGGCCAATACTTCAACATATGCTGCTGCCGCTACATCAGCAGCAGCTATGCAGGCTTCTGCTAGTACAGCAATGTTGACAAATTATTGTGATGCCGCTATGATGATGGCAGCTGCTGCTGTTAATGCTAATCAATGTTTGCAACAACAGCAACAACGTATCGCCTTAATGGCCAATTGTCAAAATGCGATCAATGCCAGCAGCAGCACTAGTAATGATGAACATGATTTAACAAGTTTATCGAAAAACTCTTCACCACTGAACAATGAGGCAACAGCTTTGGTATCTTCAGCATTATCCTCAGCCTCGTCAACAAATTCAACCACTTCATCATCTGCATCATTGTTGTCGTCGGTCTCATCTGCGGCCACAACATCGCCTTCCATAACTCTGGTTAATACAGCATCACTTATATCGACAAATGCTACAGCTAGTGATATTGCTGCTGGTCATCTTCACCCACATCATATACATCATCATCATCTTCATTCTCTTCACAATCATGAGCATCTCCAACATCATCATCACCATCAGCTTCACCACCATGTTGAGCCAGTAACGTCACCAAATTTAATCGATATCAGTGAAGTTCCTCTTATAGTGGATGTCAAGTAGTGTAATTTATTATTTAATTAATAAAATGGAAAAAAAAATCTAAAATACAAAAAAAATTTAAAAAAATTACAAAAAATATAAAAACCAAAAAAAAAAAAGAATTAAATTAAATTTGTATTTTTAAATAGCAAAAAATGTATAAAAGAATAGTTAAAATATTTCTAATTCCTTTATTTTGTAAATAGTTTTTATCTCCTAAATATTTCAGTTGTTTTTACTTAATTTATTTAAATTTAATTAAAATTTTAGCTGTTAATTTTTTTCTATTTACCACACAAATTGAAGTCATTTTGTATTTGAAATACCAACGTTCTTTTTACAGATTAACCCATAACTGAGTTATCAAAACTTTAAGCTCAAAATCCATTTGCAGAGAGTAAAATAATTTTAATGTAAGTACAAAATATTAAAACTTTTTTTTTTTTGAGATTTTTTAAAAATGTTTTCCATACTGGTGGTCGTCTAGTCAATATATTTGTAACTTTATTGCTGATTCTCCATTTAAAGCTCTTCCTAATACAATTACACTTTATTTTGAATTTTATTTCATGTAATAGACTTACGATTTGATAAAATAGTTTCATTTGCTGCAACTAAATGCACCAACCATACATTTGTACTTGAAAGCTTTCTATATGTATTCGGTTGCTACAACAAATTCTCCATGTAAAGCTCTACCTATCATAATTAGGCTTTATTTTAATATTACTTCATGTAATAGACTCACAATCTGATAGAACAGTTTCATTTGCTGCAATTAAATGCACAAACCATATAGTTGTACTTGAAAACTTTCTATGTGTATTCGGTTGTTACAACAAAATCTCCATTTTTAAATTCCTAACACATTTACACTTTATTTTGAATTTAACTTCATGTAGTAGACTTACGATCTGATAAAACAGTTTCATTTGCTGTAACTAAATGCGCAAACCATACAATTGTACTTGAAAGCTTTCTTTATATATTCGGTTGTTACAACAAATTATCCATTTAAAGCTCTTCCTAACACAATTAGACTTTATTTTAACTTATGTAATAAACTCACGATCTGATAAAACAGTTTCATTTGCTGCAACTAAATGCACAAACCATACAGTGGTACTTGAAAGCTTTCTATGTGTATTCGGTTGTTACAAGAAAATCTCCATTTAAATCTCTTCCTAACACAATTACACTTTATTTTGAATTTAACTTCATGTAGTAGACTTACGATCTGATAAAACAGTTTCATTTGCTGTAACTAAATGCGCAAACCATACAATTGTACTTGAAAGCTTTCTTTATATATTCGGTTGTTACAACAAATTATCCATTTAAAGCTCTTCCTTACACAATTAGACTTTATTTTGAATTTTATTTTTTGTAATAGTCTTATTACGATCTGATAAAATAGTTTCATTTGCTGCAACTAAATGCACAAACCATACAGTTGTACTTGAAAGCTTTCGGTTGTTACAACAAATTCTCCATTTAAAGCTCTTCCTAGACTTTATTTTAAATATTACTTCATGTAAAAGACTCACAATCTGTTAAAACAGTTTCAATTGCTGCAACTAAATGCACAAACCATACAGTTGCACTTGAAAGCTTTCTATATATATTCGGTTGTTGCAACTAATTTTGCAAACAATTACTTTTCCATATCTAAATTTCATCGTTAAAATTTTTTTCAGCATGTTCACAAATCACCAATAAAATTTCTCGAAATATACCCACAAACATCTTCCTTTTTATATACCAAGGTCTCAAAATCGATGTTTTTTTCTCAATTTAAATTTAAGCTCAAATTTATAACTTGATCACAAATTAAAATTTAAATAAAAAATGACTTCAAATAAACATATCTTCTTAACATAATTTAAACATTAATAAAAAATACATTAAAATTACGTAAAACGTAATAATTTTAATTTTTATTATTATTATTGTTGTTGTAGATATAAATAAAATAAAACTGTAAAAATTATATTGTAAATTAATTAAAAATATAAAAAAAATTACAAACATTTTGTATAGTAAAAGTTAAATTATATTTAGAAAATAATAAAAACCAACAAAAAAATATAAATTGTATGTATGTGTGTAAAAGGCACTTAATAATACTTAATAATTGTATATTAAACAAAAATTAATTAAATAATTAAAACAACTTTATTTCTAAGTTGAAATTGTATCTTAAAAATACTCTACACTACACTATTTAGCAATTATTAATTTTATTATTTTTTTTAATTTAAAAAAAATTCTTTTGCACAATTTATACCAAATATAAGAGAAAATAACAAAACTATTTTAGATTTAATTAATTAAAAAAAAAAAACAACAACAACAAATTATAAGAAAAATATGATAATGAAAACATAACTATTGTGGCAATTTAATTATAAATTTATTTTTTATTAATTTACAAACAATTTAATATTATTTTATTTTCCAACCATCTTAAAGATGGTTCTAAATTTTTCTTTTTTTTTTTTATAAAAATTCAAAATTTATTTTAATTTTATGAAAATAAATAAAAAAAAAAATCAAAATGAAAACAAAGCTAATTATAAATAATACCCAGTGCAACTTCTTATTTTTTATTATTATATTTAAGTTATTTTTTATATAAAAAAATATATATATTTTAAATTAATAAAAATTATTTTTGTTTATTACATGAAATACATGGTTGTTTAATTAAATATTTTGTTTATTTATTAACTTTATAGTATAACAGGTTTGTATAGAGTTAAAAACAAAAATTACACTTATTTGATCCTAAAAGGATTTGTTTACATAAGAGTTGCCCAGAGGATATCGATTTTGCTTGAAATTAAGTATGTAGAGCCCGTAGTAAGTGAGAACCCATAAAAGGGAATTTTTTGGTACTTTTATTGTTCTTCAAAAAATACTTTTTTTAGTTGTCTATAAACATAAAATTAAGCATGTAGTACACCAAGTAAATGAGTACTTATAAAAGGGGACTTTTTTTATATCCTACACCACTTTATTGGGGAGGGTATATTGGGTTTGTGCTGATGTTTGTAACGCACAATAATATTGGTCATATATCCACCTTAAATTATACCAATCTGCTTCTTCTGTTGTCCTAGGGACGAAGAATTTTGAAAATGGTTAAGATCGGTCCATTATTTCACCTAGCCCCCATACAACTGAACCTTCGAATAGGGCTTGTAAACATTGTAATCAAACTACAGGTCGCAATTTTGGAGATAATTCAATGAAATTTGGTACATGATCTTCCGAATATGCCTTTAAAGTTCTTAATTATGTTTAATATACTCCTATCTCGACAAAAAGCTGTAAAACCAAGTTCTATACTAGCCTTAATAACCCCCATGAAGATTAAAATTATAGGGCCTCATTTGACCCTAGCCCCTACAAAAAGCCCCCTTCAAAATTTGACTTAAATGTCCATAATAAATGGCTTAAGTATATCTGAGACAAGGTACAATTCAACTTAAATGCTTCATTATGAAAATTAAATCACATTTTATTTTTGTAACAGGTGTGGGTATTATATGGTCGACCTCGCCCGACTATTATTTCTTACTTGTTTACTTTTTCTTTCACCAAAGGTACTTTTTGAATGTAAGTTTGTCTGGTACCTTTTCATTCTTCAAAAGGTACTTTTACAATTTTGTATAATATTGAAACTAGGAACATAAAATTAAGTCCGTAGTCTCCTTTAAAAGCGAACTTTTAGGTACTTTTCCGTTCTTTTAGTTTTCTATAATATTGAACCTAGAAACATGAAATTAAGTAGATCCCGGAGTAAGTGAGAAAGTATAAAAGGGAAATTTTTTTTAGTTTTCTATAATATTGAACATGGAAACATCAAATTAAGCATGAAGAGCGCGGAGTAAATGAGTACTTATAAAAGGAAAATGTTTAGTACTTTATCGTTTTTTCAAAATGTACTTTTTGAATTTTCTATAATATTGAACATGGAAACATAAAATTAAGCATGTAGGGCCCGAAGTAAATGAGGACTTATAAAAGGGAACATTTTTAGTACTATTTCGTACTATGGGAAGACTGATGACGGAATTCCGTTTCAGGAGTTTCTTTGTATTCGTATAACAATGGGAGTTTGTCTAATGTTTCACTTGACTAAAATCACTTATTTGACCCCAATGTATTACAGTTAATGACAATCAGGGTTGTCATAGACTCATATCATTATCGAGCAAAAAAACCATCAACATTCGTCTTCAAATCTTACGGTAATTTACAAATATTTCCCAATTTTCAAACTTTAAATAATTTCTGAAATGACCCTATAATAAAACTAAAACTCATTATACCCTACACCACTATAGTGAGCGTTTGTGCTGATGTTTCTACCGCCCAAAAATATTGGTCCTACTACTTTAAACCATACCAATCTTCCAAAATCATTTTAAGCTTTGTACCTCTGTGTATGGATGACTATAGACTAGACTATAGACTTGACTATAGACTAGACTATAAACTTGACTATAGACTAGACTAGACTATAGGCTAGACTATAGACTAGACTATAGACTAGACTATAGACTAGACTATAGACTAGACTATAGACTAGACTATAGACTAGACTATAGACTAGACTATAGACTAGACTATAGACTAGACTATAGACTAGACTATAGACTAGACTATAGACTAGACTATAGACTAGACTATAGACTAGACTATAGACTAGACTATAGACTAGACTATAGACTAGACTATAGACTAGACTATAGACTAGACTATAGACTAGACTATAGACTAGACTATAGACTAGACTATAGACTAGACTATAGGACTAGACTATAGACTAGACTATAGACTAGACTATAGACTAGACTATAGACTAGACTATAGACTAACTATAGACTAGACTATAGACTAGACTATAGACTAGACTATAGACTAGACTATAGACTAGACTATAGACTAGACTATAGACTAGACTATAGACTAGACTATAGACTAGACTATAGACTAGACTATAGACTAGACTATAGACTAGACTATAGACTAGACTATAGACTAGACTATAGACTAGACTATAGACTAGACTATAGACTAGACTATAGACTAGACTATAGACTAGACTATAGACTAGACTATAGACTAGACTAGACTAGACTAGACTATAGACTAGACTATAGACTAGACTAGAGACTAGACTATAGACTAGACTATAGACTAGACTATAGACTAGACTATAGACTAGACTATAGACTAGACTATAGACTAGACTATAGACTAGACTATAGACTAGACTATAGACTAGACTATAGACTAGACTATAGACTAGACTATAGACTAGACTATAAACTAGACTATAGACTAGAGTATAGACTAGACTATAGACTAGACTATAGACTAGACTATAGACTAGACTATAGACTAGACTATAGACTAGACTATAGACTAGACTATAGACTAGACTATAGACTAGAGTATAGACTATAGACTAGACTATAGACTAGACTATAGACTAGACTATAGACTAGACTATAGACTAGCTATAGACTAGACTATAGACTAGACTATAGACTAGACTATAGACTATACTATAGACTAGACTATAGACTAGACTATAGACTAGACTATAGACTAGACTATAGACTAGACTATTAGACTAGACTATAGACTAGACTATAGACTAGACTATAGACTAGACTATAGACTAGACTATAGACTAGGACTATAGACTAGACTATAGACTAGACTATAGACTAGACTATAGACTAGACTATATACGACTAAGACTAGACTATAGACTAGACTATAGACTAGACTATAGACTAGACTATAGACTAGACTATAGACTAGACTATAGACTAGACTATAGACTAGACTATAGACTAGACTATAGACTAGACTATAGACTAGACTATAGACTAGACTATAGACTAGACTATAGACTAGACTATAGACTAGACTATAGGACTAGACTATAGACTAGACTATAGACTAGACTAAGACTAGGACTATAGACTAGACTACTATAGACTAGACATAGACTAGACTATAGTACTAGACTAGACTATAGACTAGACTATAGACTAGACTATAGACTAGACTATAGACTAGACTATAGACTAGACTATAGACTAGACTATAGACTAGACTATAGACTAGACTATAGACTAGACTATAGACTAGACTATAGACTAGACTATAGACTAGACTATAGACTAGACTATAGACTAGACTATAAACTAGACTATAAACTAGACTATAGACTAGACTATAGACTAGACTAGACTATAGACTAGACTACAGACTAGACTAATTTTAATAACTATTTTGAATTAAACTTAAATCAGATAGCTTAAAA